CGTGCAGGCCACCTGGGACCCAGGCGGCCCGAATGGTAGCCTAGCATGCAATGCTATTATCCCCATCATCTGATTTGTTGTTTGATTTTTTATTTTTTAGTTTGGATGCCGCATCATTAATGATTAACCTATGAGTTTTTTTTTCCAAGGAATCCTGTAAGGTGTGTAGACAAAGATTACTTGCAATCTACTTTCACCGAGCTTATGTTCTTGAAATTCAACATCGAACACACAACAATTTTGTGCACGACACACACACACACACTGAGAGAGAGAGAGAGAGAGAGAGAGAGAGAGAGAGAGAGAGAGAGCCCCCCCCAAAAAAAAAAAAAGTTACAATCGGCATGTCATATCATATCGAAGTTTAAAAAACTCCAGAAACCTCGACATCTTAAGATATTGCAGTCCAAGGCCCCTCGCGTGGCAAATGAAACTATCTAACATCAGACCACCATTCAAGCTAAACAACACGTCATGGAAAACCCGCATCTAAACCGGATTCCGTCCGGCCCTGAATGCTATATGGCCGACAATCTCTTCCCTTGCGCTCTCCCCGCTGTGCTCGTTCACGTGAGCCCGAACCCCATCTGCATCCACCTGATTGAAAAGTCCCAAAATCACGATGCCTAGCCATAAAATGGTCAACATTGAAGAGCACATTACCATCGATGCAAAAGTTGTGGAGCACGGCGCACGCCTATGGCCAGGACATGATCCGGAAGTGTGTCAAAATCAGCCTTCTGTCGCTTGTAGAGCACACACCACATCCCCTCAAGTCGCCCAAAACACCGTTCGACGCACTTTCGCACAGATTCATGTGCATCGTTGAAACGCAATCGGTCACCTTGCTGCTGTCCTGGGAATGGGCGCAGAAGCCATGACAGACAAGGGTAGCCAACATCGCCAATCAAGTACTGGTTGACCCGTCCCCCATGGTCCAGCCGTGCTGCAGTGTCTCTGAAGTAACCATCAATAGCACCTCTCTCGTAAAGGGAGGATCTACGCAAAATTCTCGAATCGTGCACGCTGCCAGACCACCCTGCATTCAGGTCAAGGATCCATGTCGGACACACACTGTGCCACTAGACCACCCTGCATTCAGGTCAAGGATCCATGTCGGACACACACTGCGCCACTACGCTGTATTGGCGGGTGCGATCGTAGTAGTCCGTGTCCAATCCATTGCCTGGTTTCTCAATGAAAAAATGAGTGCAGTCTATGGCACCGATGCAGTTTGCGAACCCCCCCCTTGCAAACTTGGCAATGGTGCCTGGCATAACCTCAGCATCAGGGAATGATATCAGCCCCAGCATGTTGTCCATAATTGCCTTTGTCACCCGGTTTGTGCACTCAATGGCCGTAGCATGACCGATGCCGAACCTGTCCCCAACCCTGTCATATGACTCTCCACTTGCAAACCTGTTCACTGCAGCAGCCAAGACACGAGCTGGCTCGATAGGCCGTCGCATCGTTGTGTGCTGCCTCTCCAGATGAGGACCGAGCCGATCTAGCAGTCGTTTGAACAGTGGAGCAGGCATACGGAAGTAGGATCTGAATCGCCTGCTGTCGTTGATGAAGTGTGGATTGTGCATGTCTCTCCACGTGCCCGCTGTCCGGTCTTTGACCCATACTGAGCGTGGCACTCGACCTCCAACCCCTCGTGCCATCATATCCTCTACTGCCTGTATAATGTGTTAGCCCATCCACCCTCCGTCTGTGCTGAGCTGCCGACTTCCATGCAGCCTGACTGCCTCATTGTGTGGTCTTGAGGTCAGGCCCATGATGCGCGACACAGAGAGCCGCTGGCGAAGCACAGTTTGGACCCACAGGAGGATGACACGATGGAAGTGTTGCCTGCGTTGGACGTCCATGGCCTACAACTTATCGAGACGGTGCTGGCACCGGCCTTGCCACCGGGAGGTGAACCTGCGATAAGGAACTTCTGAACCTAGATAAAGACACCGTTAAATACGCATGCTATGGCTGTATAGCCACCGCTTGTACCAGCCCAGTGGACGGCCGGAGCTGTGTGAACACGGACGAGGCAAAAGCGCTGCAACAGTGCCACCATAGTCAATCCTCCTCGCTAGACGACGAAGTAAGACCCACATCACTACACGTCAAGACAAACAAAAAAACAATGCCGCGAACCCACCACCTTCCTGAACCCCACAACGACGAAACACCAAACCCTTCCCTACTGGGACAAGATAAATCGGCGCAAACAATCTTCATTCCCTGCTCCTCTCCCGCACTCCCCCTAATACAATCTTACCTCTTACAAGCACCCTACCACATTCATACAGAAACCCCCTACCCCAAAGATTTCAGCCACTACCACCACCCCCAACCTTACCCCTGCCCACTCATCTATTCTAATCCTAGCCCACAATATGGCAGGATGCACTACTCGTCCATGGCCTGCACAACGCCATCCTACGATACAACAGACGACCACAACATGCACCACTACTACAAATACTTATATGCATATGCTATACCGCACCAGCGTGGCCGGCATGCATGTCATTATGTCCCCCATTCTCCACCTACTTCCCTCCGACGCCCTCCTCATTCATTCTCCTCCTACACCTTCCTCACACGAGCGCATCAGCTCGCAATCTGATCCTTGTACCTAGACTTGGTCTGGCACACCATAGTGCCCCGGCGCTGTGTTTACGATTGTAAGCATCCTGACACAACGCTGCGAGGCCACCTTCGTGCTATGGCGGCAACTGATCTTCCTGCGACCTCTATTATGATCAGTCAGGTATGTCTTCAATAACAAAAAAAAACCCTAAAAACTATGCTACCTCTCCTTACAACACCTGATGACATGCTTACAACCCCTATATCCCCCTCCACCCTTCCCCCTTCCTAACAGGAACCTTTACTAAGCTGACCCCTCTGATGAGCTGCTATGGGTGCCAGGCGGCGAAAAGCGCGCTTAAGGGCGTGCACCCCCCCCAATGACTGGGTTCTCATACCCATTCCTAACCTCTGCTTACTCTAATTTTGCTAACCTGCTCCTTACTAATACCTGCCCTGAGATATCCTGTACCTAACAACTACCCTTCCCCTCCTTGCCCAACTGTGGATGTGATAACAATGTCTAGTGTCCCATTCTGAATGGGATGGTTGTGTTTTATACACACACCCCTTACACACATTCCCGGATCATGGATCCAGTTACCAGGCATGGGGTCAAATCCCCAGCTCACTAGACCATGTCAACGTCCTCACTTACCAAACCTTTGTGCAGGCTGATCGGCTTGATTGATGATTAAAAAAAAAAAAAAAAAACTCCCCCTCCCCCTCCCCCTCCCCCCTCCCCCCAACTACTATGCACGCAATCCTGGTTAATCACTTTGCTGCCATCCCTATTGCAATGCTGCTATATGATAAAAATACTTTTCTGCATGAGCAGGACTATTTAGCAAACTGCGACACACTGTACAAATATCGCACACGAGTATACACGATATCTTCTCATCATCACAATACTATTGAGCACGCGTAATCTCTAATCCCCTTATTTTTATACCCCTACTCCACACGTGCGCCGCTAATTCACAATACACCTACTTACAAACTCCCGAAAGTCACCCCTCACACCCCGAACACTACTCCCCACAGTATGACCTCACCGTCCCACATGAGTAAAACCACAATAAACAGGTATGCTTCTCCTCAGTAAATCCCTACCCCCTTATAACACATACTCTAGCTCACAACTTCATACCCGCCACATTTTAGGAGAATCTTGATGAAGATCGCATTAGCTA